CTGAGAACCTTTTAGGAACGTTTTTTGAAATATGAGGGATATTTTTAGGACATTCTGGGGACATATTTAAGACATTTCAGAGACAATTTCAAGATATTCTTAAAACGTGCTAGAGACTGTTCTGGGGTAGAGATAGAACATACTTTGGGAGTCTTTAAGTTGTCTTTTTTATGCTTTTAGAACATTCAAGCAATATCCTAGAACACTTTGAAACGTTCAAAAGTCATCCTAAAGATGCCTTGATTCACATAGGGTAGTATCTTGAGTAAACAATATTTTAAAAAATCAACTTTACATAAAATTTATTCAATTAATCTTTCTTCCTTTTGTTTTAAATTTCTCAAAAAAATAATATCGTAATTAAATTTACAAAAAAATTTGAAGAGCTCAGACTTTTTGGTACTAGTTATTGCTTAGTAGTAGTGATTTTAGAATAAAAAATATAAAAACTCGATTTTCTTAAAAACACGTCTAATGATTTTTTCTTTTTGGTCTTAAATTATTTAGGAGTTATAATAGAATAGAAATCTACAAACATATTTGAAGTGCCTCGACCTTTGGGTTTAACTTGGTTCGGACCCACCGTAAGTGTTCTTGTTTTTCCGTGCTAAGTAAAGTACACTGCATACTTTCCGAGTATACATTCCGGTTGCGTTTACATTTACAATTATGTTTCTATTTTGCGTTCGCCTTTACAAGCAGCAACTAATGAGGATTCATTCGAAGATAGAGCCCTGAACTCAGATTCAGACTTTTAAAAAGGATTTTCTTGCTTCACTTACTTTTATTTTTGCTTTTTAATTTGATAGCGACCGAAACTCAGATTCAGACCTTCAAAAAGGTTTTTCTGATTTCACTTTTATTTTTTAATTTAATATTTTAAAACTCTAAGACTGTTACTGATACTATTTTAAATCACTAAGATTGTTGGTAAAATATTCTACTTACAAGGAGACCTTACTATTGGTCACAAGCTTTGGGAAATTGTATGTATATTTTCATATGGAGGGGCCTTAATGTAACACAGTTACGTTATTTTTAGCGGCCAAAAGAAGGACTTTTTTTAGAAAAAATTATTTTTCGTTTTCGGCCATATATAATTAAAATTTTCATTTTATAAGGGCTGCACTTTATTAAGGCTTTTTTAATTTTCTTTTTCTTAAGAAAAATTTTCCGTGTTAGAAGGAACATCTTAAAAATCCATATTATCACGATATTTTACAATTTCATGGAAACAAAAATGAAGTTGACAATTTGTGTGTCCTGAACACGTAGCAGGGTTCCAAAATTGCGTATCACGTCATGATTTTGAGTAAAGTGAGGGTAAGACCCCAAAAATGTGTTTTTAAGGGTTTTCAGTATTTTATTTCTCTTTAACCCGACGTGCAATACACTTATACATAGGCTTAAATTAAAGGTTAAGATGTACACTTTAAGACCCATATACGCAAGATAAAAAAATTTTGAAATTTTGAAAAAATGGGGTAACCCTAATAAACTTTTTGTCTGTGTTGAACCTAACTTTTTTCAAAATTTCAAAAGTTTTTTTTATCTTGAGCATATGGATCTTAAAGTGTACACCTTAACTTTTAATTTAAGCCTATGTATAAGTGTCTTGCACGTCGGGTTAAAGAGAAATAAAATACTGAAAACCATCAAAAAAAACATTTTTTGGGGTCCTTAGCAACAACGCCACGCGAAAATTGCACCTAACATGTCCTACTGCGATTGCAGAAGTTCTATGCTTTTTTGGTATTAGACTCTTGCAATTGACGATTAGGCCACGCCTACCTACTCGCTAGTAGACTTTTTCATGCTGATCATTCTGTTCTCTTCTAACTCATGCGTCATTATATGCGCTACATAAGGACAGAACGATCAGCATGAAAAATGCAAGAGTCTGTTGCAAGAGTCTAATACTGAAAAAGCATAGTACTTCTGCAATCGTAGTAGGAAATGATACGTGCAATCTCGGCGCGGTGCCGCTGTATTTAAAGTATAATAAGTATACAATAAGGGGCTATATGACAAACTTTATTAGCATAGACAAATTTCATGGTAAAAAGTTATAAGGTTATACTACAATTACTCAAATTTTAGATCTATGTAGCATATAAAAGTTTTTATACGTTAAATTTAAACCTTCCTATATCATGAAAGGCAGATTTTTTTCTCCGTGTAGAAGTGAAACTTTAATTGAAATTCTCTAATAAAACATTAATTAAATTCTTTAATGTTCAAAAAGTCAAGCTTGAAAACGGTCAATGGTTTTTCGAGCTTCGTCTAACAGGTTGATCTTTTTTCGTTCCGGTTAACACTTAAAGGGTTCACGTTTTCAATTTTAATGTCATTTAAAAAATTTTCCGAAAATATCTGGTTGTTTTCTTTCTTGTAGATTACTCGAGGATATTCTGTGTAGGTACGACCAATAAGAATGTCAAGGGCTTGTGCGTCATTAGGCACAACATGTAAACCGACGTTTTTGATTAACACATCAACACATTCCGTATGAACTTGTTTTAAAATTTCGCGAACCGAAACTTTGAAAAATAATCTCGTCACGTACCATATCAAAACCTTTCGATAAAACCACTGATGCTTTAATTGTACAATCGGATGCACCTGTATCTATAAATGCATCGAGCTCAATTTGATTCACTGACACTTTATATATTTCGCGATTGATGTATCTTTCATAATAGAAATAAAATTAATTTCCGGCTTTTTATTATTCGATACAGTTGCAGTACAGTGTCTTTGTGTATGACCCTTTGCATGACACTTGACACAAACTAATTCACGACGCGGATCTGGACAGTATCTCGAAATGGGATCGAATTTTCTGCAGTTATAACACTTTAATTTTCTCGATTCACTTTTTACTGGGGGGACGGCGATCGGGGTTTCGACCATCTATAACTTGTCGTTTGACTTCAGGAGGTTTAACTGATGTCGTGGTGCTCGCGGGTGTTGTGGTGTTCGCAGGTTTCTTGGTGACGGTGTTATCCTTGAGACTACGACTTCTCTCCGTCCGTTGATATGCGATGCGCTCCAGGTGAATTATGTCATGAAGTAGATCATCGACGTCTGTATGTTCCTTTGATACTAACGATGTACATAAATCCCGAGACCAAAATTTAATCAGAGCTTGCTCCTTCGTATCATCAAAATCCAAATCGACGTCATGGCACAATTTGACTTTTTCGTGAAAACAAGCGGTTGTTGATTCATCCTTTTTCTGTGATCTTTCGGACATTTTCTTCCAACGTGTAGTTTTACTTTCAGTATTCACAAAAGTTTTCTTGAAAATGGCACGTGTCTTGTACCCGAAATAAGCTCGACCTTTTATGTGTGATCTCGCTGTTTCTAAGGTAAAACTGTCTGGCCAATTGTGTAGTTGCTGCTCAAAAATGTTATGACGAAATTTAGGTTCTATTAAAAGTTATTGTACAATTTATGTACATATGTTGAAAAAAATGTTACTGCATTTTTATAAAATTTAGTATTTTAACTTTTTCGGGGTCGCTGATTACTATCTAGGCCACATAATTTAATAGTCCTATACTTCCAGAAGAAAGCGCACCAAAGTTGACTTAAAAATGTTGATTTTGTTTAAAGATATGAAGGATTTAACACTACAGCCAAAAAAGCGTACTTAAACTTTAACTGCGTTTTTCTCAAAACGTTGTTCTTTAAATCGGTTGCAGGGATTGTGAATAAACGGATGGATATTTTGGCCTAATTTTTTTTGCATATTGTTTAAAGTAGTATCATATTTTTCATTTTTAAAGGTAATTTTAGGTATAACCACTACATTAGTACCTTAAGGGGTTTCCTAAATTTTTTTGGTCAAAAAAATCGAATTTTTTTTTTTCATTTTTTGATAGGAAAGTATGTTAAGAATGTGTGGTTAAATCATTAGATCGTAATTCGCTCATAATCTTAAGTTATTTAACAAAATACACATATATATGCGTCTACAGATCGTATAATTAACCCTTTCGTGCCCACGATAAACCGAGCGAATGGATTTGCTTGAAATTCGTTACTCGGGGGTTATTGGGGTCTTTAATTACGAATTTAATGTCAGATTTTAAAAATTCAAAATGGCGGATCCAAGATGGCGGACAAATTTAAAAAATGCTTGGATTGGCTCAAAATTCTTACTCATATTCTTACGAATATGATGACAGAATTCGAAAATTCAAATATAAAAAAGGTTTTTTGGTTTGCTGATAATAAACCCGACATGGTCATGGACCCAGTATGGACAATTCATCATATTCATCATTTTCGAGCAAATCCGATTAGTTTTAAAATTTTCGTCCGCCATTTTGAATTTTTAAATTCTGACATCATATTCGTAATCAGCGACCCCAAAAACCCCTGAGTAAGAATTTTCAAGCTGATTCAGTTACTTCTGCTTGACTCATTATAACCTTTTGATATCAATACTTTAAACGCTTTTTTCTCAAAACACTATATTTAAAAATGGTAACCAGTAGAACTCAAAAACCGTTTGACCGATTTCAAAAATTCAAGTTGCATTCGATTCAGTGGAAGTTTTTGCAGGTCCTAAACCTCTAATATATTTAAAATATTCAATAATCAGGTTTTTGTGAGTGATTGATTGTCAAAAAAATGGTGTTTTTTCAGTTTTTTGGGTTCCAAAGCTTGCCATTTTTTTAATTTTTGATTTTTTTTAACCCTCGGAGCACACACCTCTTTTTTGAACAAGTAGCACAGTCTGGGTCGCTGTGACCCTGTTTACTTTACAAAACTCCCCCATTTTTGAACTATTGGACTGATCAACTCAAAAAAAATATTTTTTTATTCATTGAACCTTGTAAAATAAGAATATGTAGTTTAGAAATATTATTAAATTATTTGCATATTGAAAAAAAATTCGTGAAGTTAACTAATTAAAAAGAAAAAATTGAATTTAAAAAAAAATGTAACTTTTGTAATTTTTAATATTTTAAGCTAAAAATTAGGATTTATATTCTCGAAGTGTGTTAGAATAAGGGAAAAAATACCACCTTATTTTATTTTTTAAAAAAGGTATTTATTTTGTAGTTTAACGAAGGTAACTTTTAAGATGATAAAAATGTGATTTTCGACACAACTTTTTAAAACTATACTTTTTTAATAACATATTTACTAGTATTTTATTATTTTCTTTGGATTATCATGTTACTTATTATTCCTTATTAGTTAGTTACCACTATATGGCCTTAGGTTCGTGTTGTATTGCCGACTTTTCAAATTACACTTCATTGAAATTAATGACAGGGTCTGTGTGACCCAGTATGTGCTCCGAGGGTTAATATCTCGAGGTTTAGGACCTGTATTAGGTCTTAAACTTTAAAATCACGTTTGATTTTTTTATTTTAGATGATTCTGCGATGAGCTACAGTGGTTACCGTAAAGGACCTTGATTTTGACCAGTGTACATAGCAACCTCTGTAGAAGGAGCATAATAATATTTTTTAAGATCGCAATTTTTTTTAAATAGTTCTTGACGTATATAGTAACATGTAAAAACTTTTGATCAATTATATTTTAAAACTTATGAGTACACGATCTTTTAAAAACTTTCTATTTTAGGGCAAAAAAATTTAGGAAACCCCTTAACCTTAAGATTATTTTTTGATTTTTGGTTTTAAATCACTGGGGAGTGTGCTAGGTCTGCAACCGCAGAGCGCCTCAAAATCGATGCGTCGACTATGACACCCTCTAGAGCCTAACAATACACCCCTACGTAATTTCTTACAATCAAATAGATAGGCGGCTTCCATAAATGATGTCACAGGATTTTCGGACATTTTCGACCCCCCCTCCCCTATGTCACAATTTCTCACATTTTTTCAGACCCCCCCCCACCCCTATGTCACGTCGCAATATTCAAAACAGTTATTTTTCATGAAAAAAATCTTTTTTCAATAAATAGAAATTTAGTTACTTTAAATAATCCCTCAACTAATGAATTTGCTTATTTTTCAAGCATTTTTAATGCAAATATACTTGCAAAAGAAAATCAGGACAAAATTAATAATAATTGCGCACTAATTGTATTCTGAATTTTCACAATTTTATTCGAAAACAATGTAACGAACCAATTCGTAATTGACTCGTTATCGTCATTTAGCTGCCCTTCCAGGTGATTTTCCCAAATATTCTATAATTCAAATTTGAATTATTCGCCCGCGCTATTACCAACTTAAGAAATTCTTAAGTTGGTACGCGTGAAACTTAGCAGACGACAAACGCACATGTTTGCCGACGCCGAAAATTATTTCAGAGAGAGAACAGCGTTCTCAGCGATAAGTCGTTATAATAAACAAATAAAAGAATCTATCGTTATATTGAGCATACAAGTATTGCGAATCGACAAATGTATTAAAATTTATTAAATAAATAGTGAGTAAAAGAAACAGATAGCGCATTTTATTTAATTCAAGCGTAATTTGAATATTCTTATATTAGAAATTAAATTTATTGGAACTAGCGCACTGAAATAATTAAACTCAACATATTCGAGGTAAGTCGATTTAATTATTTCCTCTGAATCTATAAGATTTCTATGTTCTTAAATAATTGCCACTATCTCTCAATTGTCATGCTAAAATTAAAGTAAAGTTCAGTCGTGATAGTCAGTTCAGATAAATTCTTAACTTTTGTGTCTTGCCGTATAAGTCGAACCCCTCTTTTTATTACTTAAAATTAAATCTTATATGGTTTGCCACATTTTTGGCGCCCAACGTGTGTTAATTGTCGAATTAACATATTCATTAATCAAGCCAAAATTGTGATTTTTGTCACATTTTTGGCACCCAACGTAGTTTTTTCTAATTAAGCCAAAATTGTAATTTTTATTACATTTTTGTTGCCCAACGTGATTTATTTATCATAACGTGTATTTTATGGCAGCCAAAATTTTTTTTTTCAACAATTTCTGGCGCCCAACGTGTTAAATAACAATAAATTTCTTGTTTAATTTTTGCCATTTTGCGCAATTAATAGCATTTTTAACGAAAAATGATGTTTTAAAATAATATAAAATCATACCCTCGCCATGTGCTCGAACACTTTTCTTACGCGTAGTTGATTTTGTTATAAATTAAAACTTAAATTATACCCATTCTCATATTTTTTTATTAAAATAATAAATAAAATAAATATAATTAAAAATCCCAAAAGAATTTTTCTGGATTGACGATTATGACTCGACTATATATATGTACGCATTTTTAAATAGTCTCCGCAAGATGAGAACCTTAACTCGCAAGGTCACTGCCTATAGACTATAGCACGTTCGCTTCTCTCTCTCACTGCTTTAGAATTGTCAACTCTCTCTTACATGCATCTTCGCTTATTCGCTCTACTACATGCTTCGCTTTGTATTTTTGAATATTACCATGCTTTATTAAAATGAACAAATTAATGTGAAATTTTTTACCATTGACATCTAAAAGAATTATTTCTATTTTTTGTCATGAACAGTATTTTAATTTTAAATATTTATGTGCAAAATTATTATTAAAAATGATATTTTCTATCATTATAATTTCAACAAAATTTTTATAAACAATTAATTGAAATTTGTTAATTAATAATTATTCTCAAGCTAGAATAATGACTACCATGGAAATAAATTCTATATTTTAATTTCCAAATATATTGAAATAATTTGCTTTTCAAGAAACATAATCTCCAACTTGAATAGCAAAATCAAAACAATAACATATCGTTGGTCACTATTATTCGACGTGTCTTTTTGCTAGCTTTGATTAAATACGAAATTTAATTAAATTCACAGAATGAAAATAATCATTTGATTTTTTTTTCTTTTTACACGGATAGATAATTTTGAAGAAAATCATTACCATTGCGCAAAACAAATAAATAGTCTTAAAAAAAAATTATTATTGCGCAAAATAAATAATTATTGAAAATTTTTTTTTTGAAAAGAAAAATTCCCTTTTGTTAATTAATTTTTTTAAAACAAATAAACAATGATTTTTTAATTAACAATTAATTATGCCAAAAAAAGATCACAGAAATACAAGGCCTATTCAGACACGTTCACAAACAAACATTTTTAAAAAATCAGAAAAAATGATGAGAACACCACCTCAAACAAATAAAGGTGAATCAGATGATACAAATCAAAGACTACCCTCACCAACTGAAAGTCTTAGCTCAATTGCTAACATTTTCGAAGAAAAGAATTTCGAAAACGATAGCACAGCTATGACTCAAGACACATCTACCACATTACCTAACACAACGGGAGCAATATCAAAAACATCCCTCAAGCGCAGCGGTCGTAAACCTAAATTAGCAAAAACACCAATTACAACAACACAATTAAAAACATTTTATTCACGATTTGAAAATTTAACGTCTACTCAAATAGACGAAAATAATAAATTTAAAAAACAGATTCAGCAATTGTTCGAACGCCATCTTGAAGATTCGCAACAACAAATGCTTAATCTTTACAATGAAAATCACCGCGAAATAAATGCGCTAAGATTAGAAACTAATAATTCTATAGAAAAACTTCGCGTCGAAATTGCAGATAACATTAGAGACCTCACAACAAAGGTGTCACAACTCCAAACGAAACATGCGCAATCTCCATGGCATGATTCTCGTTGGGAATATGACGTCAGTGGCGATCACATCGCGCTAAAAACTTGCTTACCTCCCACTTCAACCACTAATACGGTTACATTTACATGTATCACCTCGAGTACAACTCAACGTGCAACAACAGTTACAGAGCAAATGTACCCCCCACTCTCGTGCACAACACCTTCGCGACAAGTCCCTCCTGCTAATCGTACTTTGCAATTTTCTGAACCAACAAATTCTAATCCAAATTATTCAAACAATCGCGAATTAAATAACCCTCCTGTAAATATAGCCCTTAATGCTTCTTCCGCGCATCGAACACAAGTTCCAAATTTGCATAAAATTATCAAATCCTGGGAACTAAAATTTCCTGGAAAATTAGATGCTAACGAATTTCTCGACGAATTCGAAAGAAAAATGAACGCATCAGCAATAGATCCTGATGACGCGCTTCCAATTTTTTCTCAAACCTTAAATGAAACAGCATATTCTTGGTTTAACATGTTTCGTCACAAATGGACAACATGGACCGAATTTTCAAGATCGTTCCGCAAAACTTTCAGCGATGTAAATGATGACAATCAAATTCTCAATAAAATACACCGCGCGGTACAATTAGAAAATGAACCGGGAATGGACTTTGTTTTAAAATTGGGTGCACTTTACAGTAAACTAAGAAATAAAATTCCAGAAAGTAATCAGCTTGATAAAATTTATTTAAGCCTTCATTCTGAATTAATTTCCCTTTTCGATCGCGATAGCTTTACGACTTACGAAGAACTCTTAGACCAGATACGCAAGTATCAAGAGAAAATAGAATTCATGCAACAATCAAACAAGTTGCGCGAGCAAGACGAAACAAGCGAAAAAAGCCAAACAAAAAGCGAAACCCGAACCTGAACATAATTTAAACAAAATTGAAATGTACAAAAAACAATTTGATTCACTAAAACAAAAATTAAATATTAATGATACAGACAATTCTAAGCTAAATAAATCGAAAAATGCATTAATTGCCCCCACCACTTCTTCGTCTTCTCATCGGTCGCGCAAACGCTCAACTTCTGCCTCTTCTAGCTCCTCAGGCTCCGCCTCGTCGCAGAAAGGGGGGGGGAAAAGCGTAGATCGTCCGCGCACAAAAAACATGACAAGCGCGAAAAGCCACGAAACTACAACAGTCGTGGAAACGGTCGAGGCGGCAATAACCAAAATAATCGTGGACGCGGTTACAAAAATGGATGGAATGGTACCGGTCGCGGTTGGAACTACAACCATGATTACTACCATAACTCCCCCCACTCTTCGCAGTATTGCCAGCTTGACTGCCAGTGCAGCGCGCAACCTATGCGGCCATCTTTTCCTCCGCATGCGCCTCCACAGCAACCAATGCAGCCACCTTGGCATGGCAACTATAACCGCGACTTCCCACCAAATTTCGGTCAAAATGCGAATAATAATAATCAATCAAAAAACGACAGAGATGCCAGGAGAGATTAGATCTCCCTGGCGAAATATCAATAAATTCAAGCGATAAATTACCGAAAATTATAAAAATAAATAATCCTGACGAGATTAATACACGTTCAAACTCAGAAAGCATTCCTATCGCTAAAGAATCAACGTATAATCCTCAAATAGCATCAACGCTAAATAAAGCGCATGCAAGTAGGATTGATACTAGTGATTCTGAAAACGATTACGACGATTGCTGCTATTCTGAATCCGAGACGGAGTAATACGATTCTGAGGAAGATTGCCCCTCCACAGTAGGCGCGCGCATATCTTCACTCAAATCATTGCCCTTGGCAAATCAGTCAAACAATTTATTTACATTGACTGATAAAACTAAGCGCAAAGTACACAAAGGGCCCGCATTGCCCTCACCGCCTCAGGAACGATGTAAAATTTCCACTACAATTAAAATCAGTAATGAAAAAATAATCGCGCTTCTTGACACAGGTAGTGATCGTACCTTTATGTCAGGAGATCTTTATGATAAAATTAAAAATTTAGCTAACGGCGATCCGATTAAGGATGCAATAACGCGCGCTGGCGTACAACTCGCACAACGCGACCACGTAGCCGCACCTCGTCATTCGGTAAAATTCAATATAGAGTTAGGTAATTGCCATGGTGAATTATGGTTTGCTGTTCTCGACGGCCTAACCACACCAGTAATATTAGGCATAGACTTTATAATTAGTTGGCAAGTTGTCATTGACGCATGCCAAGGTTATTGGTCCATGAAAGGGTCATCTCTTCGACACCCTTTAGGCTCCAGTTCTAATACGCGCAGCTTCCTAAATTCTGCTCAATTAATTGAATTAACTACAGAATAGAGTTGCATTTGATACGAGAATCTTGAACTAATCGCTCACTTTTGTTAATTTTAAAAAGAATCTCATATTTGAGAATCTCGTTCACTCATTTGTTTTGATCGAATCATTTTGTCTCATTTCTCAGCTGAATTCTCGACGATATAATTATATCTCTTTAATAGTTAGAGAATTGATTTGCATTTTTTGGTTAAAATCATGACTGAAGAAAATATTTCCTGCAATTATCCCTCGACTAAAAGACGAAAAAAGGATGGAAAACCGTTATCCGAATATTTTGATTTTGTTGTTGTGGAAAATTCAAAAGTTGCTAAATGTTAAATATGTTTCGAAGAAAAGAAGAAATTAATTGAAATTAAAATGACAGCTGGTAACACCACAGGAGTTAAACGTCATTTGGAGAAACACCATTTAAAACAATATGAGGAAGTGTATTTGATTATTCCAGGTTCATCGAATTCCCAAGTAATATTATAAATTATAAAATGAATATTTGAAAATCGTAATAAATTTTTATTTTTAACAAGATTTTTTTAGAAACAAATTTTTTGAAAATTTATGTCTA